GCTTTGAATTTTTTTTTTCCAGTAATGCCTTAAACGACAATTTCGAAGGACACTGTCATGTTTCTTCATTGTAACGAATAACTAATCTGAGGCTTTGTTTGAAGAAGTCTAATGGGGTTAAGCAAGCTTAGAGAATGCTCTAAGGGGATTATTAAGTATTGGAAAGTATTAAACAGGATTAAAATATTAAAGTCCTTTTAAATCTTTAATTTGACAAAACGGTCATTTTTTGTACACACCTTATTAATATTAAAACTTTTTTTTTTTCTGAATGAATGTCCAAGAAATTTCTTGGTATGCACTAATATCTCAAATTTAACTTTAATTATTGCATTGAAAATAAAGAAAATAAGACAGGAAACGGTTAATGCCGCTCACCTTAGTGGCCAACTCCTCTCGCAATTAGCATCCTAGTTGAAAAAACAAATTTTTTTTTGTTTATTTAATGAAATGTACAACTGTATACAAATACAACTAGTGAATATGCGCAAATTATAAATAATGACATTTACAGGCTTGAAGAGATACTACCCAGTGGTAGCACTCCCTAAATAATTTTAAGTAAGAAGATCACGGGGCCATCTCCTTAAAAAAAAAAAAAAAAATTAATGAAAATTTGTCGTTTAAATTCAATAGTTTTCATTTATACGTAAGGACAGCAATATATACGATGACGGAGTTTCCATCTTATTTAATTAATACGCCCCATTTTTCCTGGTATTTAAATTTGAATAATGAGGCTAGGTTATGCCTGCACTATATCTTAACCATTATCTACATATTAATGCCCTCTTTCTACAAATTGATGGCTGCTGCCGGTTAGTGCTCAACAGCCGGAGCGGTGGGTACCAGGGATAGTACTTTAATAATAGCTAAAGACAACTATAGAGCACTCTCTGCGGGAATTATTGTAAAATTAAAACTGAAGAAATAATCGAAAGAAAAGCTGCTCTACAAGGATAACTTCCATCTGTGAGTAAAAGACTCAACTGAAGGGAGTGTGTTAGTTATGCTATCTTTCAAGTAACATTATAAAAACTTCAACTTGAGTCATTAATTAACTAATTTCGTAATTTCCTACTTAAACTGCACGAGGAAATGTTAATATCATTAATTTCTCATGGTCAAACAGAAATGTTAATAACATTTTTTTATTGGCTGGTGCAGACTAAAATGTTAAAAATGGCTAGCAAGAATGTTTATAACGTTACGGTTTAAATGTAGCGTTAATATCCGGGTGTATTGATTGTTGTCATTTAAACCATAGAGGAAATAAATCCTAAACAACAATTCCATTGGAAGAGAATGCACTAACTAATGAAGCTTAAAGGATAACATTCGTCGAAATAAGGTTGGAAAATAAAAATCTGGAAATGAAAAACATTCCATATACTGTGAAGTTAATTAATTGAGATAACGCTATCATTGTTCATTCAAAATTAGCCTATCTTTGTTCATTTTCAATTATGCATTTTTATTATTTTTTTGTTAATTGAAATTAACAAAATGTGCAATTAAATGTATTTATCATTACATATGCAATGTAAAATTTGATTAATTGTATTTGAGTGCACTGATTCGTAAAACATAAAAATAGCATTCAGATAAAATATGAAATTGCCTGTTATTATATGCTTTACAATGTAAGTATTATTTTATTTATTTATTTTGTTTTTAACTTTTTTTTTCTATTTAAAGAGGGGAACATAGTAAACTCGAAACCTCTAAATAATGAAAATGCCCTTTTTTCGGGGAAGTTTTATGTTATTCTTCGTTTTTGGCAATGATGACTTCTAATTAAACAACAATTGGTTTATTTATTGTATCTAAAAATTACATTTTTACATGTTAGCGTTTCGGGATATTTACTCCCATCTTCAGAACTACAATCCAAATGTTTTTTTTGTTGATTCATGGCTAAAAAATTGAGTTAAAATATAATGCATGTTACAATACATGTCAGAATTGGGTTGTTACATTAAATTTGTAATCACCTTAACAAATAAACCAATTGTTGTTTAATTGGAAGTCATCATTGCCAAAAACAAAGAAAGAAAATGCTATAAATTAAGAGTTTCTATTTTGTTAGATCTATGGACAAAAAGTGAAGAAAAGAAATTGATTAAGAAATGTCAAAAGCATTGTATTAAACTAAACTATAAACTATTAATATTATGATAGCTTGCTACTTAGAAACAGTATGCTGAAATGTGATGTAAGATTAGATAAAAAGTAAGATTAGATTTATTTATTTTATTTTTTTTAATCGACTATTTTTTTAATCGATCTATCTCCGCTGGCTTTAGGACCAGTGAGGCGGTTGAGAGAGTAGCGCGAGGTTCTCCTGGAGTTCCCTCGCCTGATTGTAAATAGTGTATTTAGGTATGCATGTGATTTTTGCTTAGTGTTAATTTTCTTATTTTTAGGTTATTTTATTTTATTATTTATTGTATGTGCTTTTGATTATTATTTTGCTTCTATTTATTTTATATTTTTTGTACATATAGTGTGAATGTTATCCTACCTCATTATAACTAATGTTCAAGAGACAGATTGTTGTAATTAAAATATATATATAAATATATATATATATATATATATATATATATATATATATATATATATATTCAATGTAATAAGTTATTTTTAAACGTTATTTCCTAAGGCATATAATAAATTAGTTTTCAATGAAAATGGAACAGCGAACGATTAATATTTGTTTAAATTCCGTTTAAATACCAGTGCCGTAAGATGAGGTAACTTTGTGAATGGGTGGGTCATTTTGGGACAGCGGGTAAAATTTTGTTTGTGGCGGTTCTTTGGTGAATAAACTTTGCAAAAACATGTATTTGTAGGCATGTACTGCTACCTTGGACCAGTTTGCGAACCCTAGTTCACTACACTCGTTGTGTAGCTAGGTTTTATTTCTTTCCACTGTATTTTCAAAATTCTTGTTTTAACGAAACTTTTGCTTGTAACTCAAAAACTATGAACATAAGATACCTTAAGGCGTGTATACACACTAATTAATACATTCTTAACTGTTTAATATTGAAGTAATCATGTTATCGTAAGTAATTTGTTTCATAACCTGTAAATTGTAAAATTTCACGTGTTGCCGGGGTAACTTTGTGACAATCCCTATGTTCTGCATATCATGTCTTGTTTTATTTCTATTGGTTCGTTTTTTCTGGATTTTATTGGACAATGCCTAGAAATTCTAAAAGAGCTCTTGGCACAAGGCCATACAACAATTACACTGAAGTAAATTTACAGGAAGAAATATGACATTATCGATCCGAAATGCCGCTTCCTAGTACTTATTCCGAAAAATACACTGCATCTGAAATCCCAAGGAAAACTTCGTAGGTCGGGCTGCAGTGTTTTCAACGGAAGAAGAGAAATATATGTCAGTGCATGATGATACCATGTCAAACTACGGATTTTCTGTCAACACCTTTGATTTACTTAGTGTTGTAAAATCGGATCTTGATAGAATTGGAATAATAGAAACTCCCTTCAAAAATAACTTACCAGGAAATGATTGGCAGATTCGTTTATGAAGCGTCACAAAAGCTTTTTGTTCCATTGATACAAATTTATTATTCTCATGTTCTCTTAAATAGAGTATTTTGGGATAAAATTGGTTCACACCCATTTTCCTTGTTGGTCCTTATATAAATATACAATATTGTGGGGTAACATTGGTGTAAACTCATGTTTCCTGTCGTTTCTAATGGAGATAATGCACTGTTCCAATTTTACCCCCAATCAATGCAGTAACATTAGGACTTCTTTAATTTTTCTTTAGTAAAATATTCTTATTTCTGCCATACTTTGTAAGAGGAAGAGTGACTTTACATATTAATTATTTGTTCAGTATTTCAACTTTGAAAATAAATATAGAAGCAGCTTAAAACTTTGAAAAGTCTCCCAAAGTTACTCATTTCATTATAATTAATCTGAGAGGTTAAATAGGAAGTTTTAGGAACGAGGAAATAATAAACATATTTAAATAGGAATAGAAGGAAAAATCTTTCTCTTTCAATACTCGAACTAATCACAATAACAATTCAAATATAGGTAAGGTTTATCCCATTATATTTATTCCTGAGTATAAAGGAAAAGGAGGAAATATGCTTTTTAAATATTTTAAGAGGAATCAGGAAATGAAAGTGAGGATTCCTCGAACAGGAAAATGTTATTCCATGTAAATTAGGAAGAAAATCGAACCAAATAGAAAATAAATTATTATGTAATGGAATAGGTAAGTAATACCAAATCAAAAACAAATATAATAAATCATGTATTGATTAAACAACAATTCAAGCTATATAAATAGCAATTTTAGTAACGTACATAGGTATTTATGTCAAAACGTATTTACTTAATTTTTATATTTTTTAAGACTTGTTGCAAAATTTCTAATTTCTATACTTCTAGACTGGGACTTTTTTCTTTATTTAATCTGTTACTTTTAATTTTAATTAAACTTGTGCTTTTAACTTTTCTCACTTTAATTTAACTGTAATTTTTTTTTAACTTCATAAATTTACGGTAAACAAGTGTATAATTAATTATATTTTATTATCTGTAGTTTTGTCATTTGAATATTAGTATTAATTTATTTAATATTAGTACTATATTATATTATATTGGGAAAATGACCTAGGAGGTCGAAAAACTCAAAAAAACAATTTTATTAAACAATTAAACACATTTTTATTTATTTTTTAATGTTACGTTAATGTTATTAAAATAAAAGTTTCTTTGTGGGCATAGCTGCACTAATATTCGGTAGATAATAATATTATTGGCCATATTGGCACCGAAATTCAATATAAAATAATTAGCCGCCTAGTACAAAGGGAAGGGGAATATGGTCACTATGGTAACTACGCTAACGCTAGAAAGGTAGGGGAGGGGTATGCCCCCACCATTTGCTCTGCTCCCGCCAGATCATTCTCATATCAAACATCCTGACAGAAACATCTCATCCCATGGACACCAGGGCGATCACCAGTGTCATTAGAGACAGCATGATTGCTATCGACATCGGTGGTACTATGTCTGATGTGAGAGAGACGCTTAGCAGACTTCACGATGAAATCGTCGCAAGTATAAACAAGGGCGAGGAAGATGTACAGGAAGAGGAGACTTCATGCAAATGTTGCGTTCATCTGGAGAAATGACTGCAGGAGGCACTCGAAGGCTGTAGCGTGGTATGGCTTAGGGAGTTCGCTCAAGAAGTTCTCGGCTCCATCCATCAGCGCTGCTGGGGACAGAGGGGCAGATCCACAACACCTCCTCCAGTTCAACCTCAGCCTTCTACCCCGCCAAGAGAGGAGCCAGTAGCTGGGCCCAGCCGTGCTCAAGACAGACCTAGTCTCAGGTTCAAGACCCGCACTCGTAGCTTCCGCAACATTCTCTACTAAACAAGCTACGGTAATAATTTTTTCATTTTATAAAATCCTTACCTTTTTGTATTATGATGTTAATCCCAAAATATTTTTTTTGTTATTTTTTAGTTAGTTCAGTTACATCTTTAAGTTCGTGATTTTTGATAATTAACAGATAAATCCGTTCTTCTTGTAAAAGTAGTAATTTATATGCTCAATTGCATGAATAAAATTTTTATATTTGTTTGGTGCGCGTTTTATTAGAAATTTTTACCAAGTCCAGTCCGTTAAATAAAAAAATAAATAATCCGTTTTTAGACAAATGATTTGCAACTCCACTTAAACATTAATATGAACCAGGATTGACATTTTTTTAAGGTTTTTATATTTTTGGAAATAGCTTTCGCAACATTTTCTCCTATGTAAGCTTTGATAATTTTTATTTTCCTTTTAATTATTTTTTTTTACCTTGATTGTCAATCCATAGCATTTTTACTATTCATATTTTTGCACTTGATTCAGTTATCTCTTTACGTTTATGATTTTAAAATAATTTACTCATACATCATTACTCATAATTTAAACATATTATGAACATTTCTTGTCATAAAAGTACTAATTTACGTACTCAAACGCATTAACATAGTTTGTATATTTGTTTTTTTTATGGGTTTAATAAGATAAAATAAACAAGTCCCGTTCATTTTTACAAAAAAAAAAAAAAAAATCTGGTGTGTCTACTCACAAGACTTTCCTACCTATTTCAGAAAAGTTTTTATATCTTTAAATATGTCCATTAAGAAACAAAAAAAAAATGTATTTTCCTGGAAATTGATCAAAGAAAAGATTTGAGTACCTTTGATTAACTAAGGTAACGTAAACCGGCTTGTGGAAGATCAGTGTAAAACATTGAATACCATCTAATATCGCTAATCAAAAACTTTTTTACCTTAGCCTAATATTGCCAAACAATAATTTCTGTTAAAAGTCGAGAGAAAAGTGAAACGTGTGTGATTCGGTCAACAGATTTTCTTACTTTAACTTATTTTTCTTTTCTTCTCTCTCATTCACCCCTTCCTGACACCAGAATATGAACCTGTAATCTTACATACGAAATTGAATAGCTGTAACTTCGTTAATAGGTGTCCGAAATGAACGATTTTTATATTTTTTTGTAGAGAATTTCATCACCATTAAAACGTTTTTGTATAAATTTGACCGTACAATACATACTTAGCGAGTTATGTCCCAAAACTTTTTTCTTTTCTTTATAACCTTTTTTTCTTAATTTTCTCGAGAATTTAGTACATGTAAAAACATTGAAAGGACATTAATTAGAATATTATAGGAAAGTTTCATTAAAATCTGTTGAGGCGTTTTTGCACTACAGTCTAGAGAAAAATATGTTTTTCACTTATTGCACAGCAGCTATTGCTCAGGGAGAACCCAATTTGTGTCGCGGTCATCAGTAGTCAAAACCCTACAAAATAAAAAAATAAGCAACAAAATTGGTACCAGTTCTCGAGATAATTTCGGCACAGAAAGACAGACAGACCAATATATTTTTTTCTTTTAAACCCCTCACCTTTTTTTCTGAAGTAAATCCATAAAATGTTTTTATTTGCATTTTTTTTAGGTAGTTCAGTTATTTCTTTAAATTCATGATTTTTATTTAATCAAGAAATGAGCACTTTCTTATTGTAAAAGTAAAAATTCCTATTGTCAAACGCATACATGTATACTTATTTTGTGTGAGTTTTATATGACAATATATCCAAGTCCTGTTCACTTTTCAAAAAATTGTAAATTTATGTTTTTTTAAGTACTTTACGTTTTTTGAAGAACAGGGAGCGATAAATAAAAAAATATTTAATTTAAATAATTAACAATTGCATCAAAGTAAACGTGACAACATTTGTTTCAAAGGAAAGTAGAATTTATAATTGGTAAAAAACAGTTAAAGAGGTATTTTTGAATGGCTACGCTTAGCTAAGTTCTGTTTTAAAAAAAAAAAAAATCATGAATGATTTGCAACTTTTTTTTATCACCCAACTATTCCTCACTTTTAGAAAAACTTCCTTATTTCATAAGCTTCAAATAAAAATTAATTAAGCTGAGGTTTATTAAAAAATAAGATGGTAAAAAAAGTGATTTAGTTATTAGATCATGGATTATCATGATCACGTTTTATTGTGTAATTACTAATTTCTGTCCTCAAATGCATGAATACAATATATTTTTTTTATTTTATTCATTAATATTTAAAACTGTATTATAAAAAAAAAAAGACACCTAGTAAATATGCACTCAGGAATATAATAACATGAAATAGCTTGTTAAGTAACTACCCACTGGTAGTACTAATAAATTTACACAAGGAGATCACGAGGCCAATATTATACATTCAAATACAATATTTGTTTTGTTTTGCAATATTTATATATTTTTTGTTTTAAAATTGTTATATCATACTGTAACTAAGTCTTGTTAATTGTTAAAAAAAAAAAAAAATTGAGTACTTTTTGCGACTGTCGTTTCATGTATTGATTGCTTACTTATCAGTTTATAGACAAAAATAAATTAATATGAATCAGATTGGAAATCCATTAAGGTTTTTATATTTGTGTATGTTGCTTTCACAACATTCTCTAATAAATAAGCTATGATTCATTTTCCATAAATTAGTTTTTTTTCTTCAAAAAAAAACTTTCTCCTCGCCGTTTTGGGTTTTAAAATAAATTCATTGATTTTTCTTTTTATTTGTATTCTTTTCAGCTATCCCTTTAGTATCGTGATTTCTCTATAATGGACATACGAATTATTATGAACACGTTTTTAGTGTAAAAGTCTAATTAATATGTTCAAACGCATTAATATATTTATAGTTGTTTTTAGCAAGTATTATATGATACTGTAGGCATGTCCTATTCATTTAAGAAAACAACATTAAATACTTTTTGCAACGAGGTATCTATTGCTTATAATTCTTTCTTATTCCATGCCCCATATGTTGCTTTCTTATCACCTAACTAACTATCAATATAATTTTTTGGATTTGGAATCATTTTAAAATTTATGTATTTATATTGAAATTTATATAATATATATATATATATATATATATATATATATATATATATATATATATATATATATATATATATACTTATATATTTTTTTTTTTTCTAATTCTTCTGAATTTCTAATTTCTAAATATTTTTTAATATGCTCAGATAACTATATATACTTTAAGTAAAGGGTATATTTAAAGAAGTGATTATATACCTAAAATTCATATAAACTATGTTCCTATTTTTCACAGAAAAGTAAAAAAAAATTTTTGATTTTTTAAGTGTCACATTTTTAGCGTGACTATAGCGTCACGTTTAAGAAGCGGTAACTAGATAGATAAATATATAGTTTATTGGATAATACATACATCTTTTAGCTATTGAATTTGGCCCATTTGGTGTTAGTAGTTGTTGTCAGTATCGAATGACAATGAAAGCATATATAAGCAGATTTCAATACGTATACATAGGTAAATTCCTATTGCTCACTATAACATCTTAATATAATTTAATAATACACGGAATAAAATTTTACAAATGATAAATAATTAAATATTAATTCCTAATACTTTATAGATAATTAAACAGTTATTCCCAATACAACATTAAAAAGTATACATCTTAATTAACTTTTCAAACCTCGCCCTTGACCACGCTCCTGTTTTTGATATTTATTAAGTAGCAGTCTGCTTGTTATATACAAATTATATGAATTTGTTGGTACTTTATAGCTATATATATATATATATATATACTTTATAGTTATCAATATATATATATACTTTATAGTTATCAATATATATATATACTTTATAGTTATCAATATATATATATATATACTTTATAGTTATCAATATATATATATATATATATATACTACTACTATAATAATATAATTTCCCAGGTAATTTTCCCTATCAATACTCAGTGTGGGACATTGCAATAACAAGTGTTCTAGGTTTTGGGTGATACATTCTTGACAACATCTACATTTCCCCCCGTTTTTATATAGGAGGCAGTTACTAAAAAATATTTAATTTATGTAATTAACATAAAAATATATATATATACACACGGTGTCCCATAAATAGAAGGAAATTTTTAAATGGGTGATAGCAGACCTCAAAAGTTACAAAAAAGTATGAACAATGGTCCAATTTTCCGTGAATATTTGTGTTTCTTTTTATTTTAAGTAAGAAACTATTTTATTGAACAGGAAGAGATAGCAAAAAAAAAAAAATAATTGAAGTAATGAACAATTGCTTCACAGTAAAGTAGACAAAATTTACTTCAAACGAAAGAAGAGTTTGTCATTGTTAAAACCATTTTAAATGGTTAAAACATAACTTCAATAAACTATTTTAAAGCTTTTTTATTTTTTCACGATCTCGGATGTCTTGTAAACATAGTTGCATAAATACAATTTTTATTCATAAAAAAAAAAAAAAAAAAAATGGTGAAAATACATATCGTTTCAATTTTTTATGATCTAAAGTGATAACGCAAAACCTTTTTTATCAAGATTTCTACTATGGAAATCGGTCGTTATTATTTAAAATTGCTTTCTTTTCTTATTTTTGTAATTGTATATATTGCACGAATGTGTTTCTCACATCGCAAATACTCAATGCCCTTGATCCAGGGAAAATGTATTTTTTCTCAAAAAAAAAAAAAAAAAAATGTATTTTCAGTCAAAACTCGGTATTTAAAAAACAATCATACACCGAAGTTTATGAGATCTTCACCATCTGGGCTTCATACTTTAATAATTATCCCACATAGTTTATGATTTTTCCCAGATATAAAAAAAAAATAATTAAAAATGAGTTCTGTTTTGGTTTCCCCTTACATTGGTTAAATATCTCAGTTAAAGATATAATTATTACTGAAATATATACCCATGTCCAACAATTAATAAAAATGTCGGTTTGTGATTGTTTTATAAATAAAAATACAGTATAATCG